AAATTTTCATTTGTTTTTCATATTTTTTGTTATATACATATATTATGTTTTAACATACTTCATATTTTGTTTAAATTTAATAATATGTAAGTATGTAAGAAATAAATAATAATTTTTTGTTACATATATGTATATTATTTGATATCATATATTTACATATATATATAATATTGTATACCAATTTTGGTATTTAATTACATACATATTTATTTATATTTATATAATTTTTTTTTGCACAACCAAATTGTTCATATTGTATTTTTTATTATTCATTTTAATTTTGTTTTTTTTTTTTTGTAAATTGTTAAACACATATTTTAAATAGTATGTAATTTATAATAAATAACCATTTAATAACGAAAATTTGATAAAAATTTTTTTTAATTTTTTAATTTTTTTTTATTTTTTTGTTTCAATTAAATTTTGCTTGTTTTTTTTTATAATGTAAATATAACAAAAAAATATAGTGAATTATGGAGAAAATAAAGGCAATAAAATGAATAATAATATATTGATAAAAGAATTAACATAATGTATACACTAACACGAAATATATATACAAATATATATATATATATATATATATATATATATAAATATATATATATATATATATATATATATATATATATATATATATGTATATAAATATGTATATTTGATATTAGGTATACATTTTTAAAAATACATAATTTTAATTATTTTAAAAAATCGTCTTATTTTTGTTTTCTTTTTTTTTTTTAATATAAATGTAAATATATATGTATATATATAGTTTATGTGTAAAAATAAATATTAAAAACGATATTTTTTTTAATTTTGTTACATTTTTGTTTTTCAATAATATTATTAAATTCACATTCCTTTTTTTTTTGTGTTTTTATTTTTTATTTTTGTATAATAGATGTATTATAGATTTTATTTCTTTTCTAAAAGTTAGCTGCGCTTTTGTTGATAAAACTAAGTTTTTTTTCTTTTTTAAATTCTTTGTATTTATTTAATTTTTATTAAATATTAGTAGCTATAAACGTTAATAAAAGAAAAAGTTTTTAACTTATTTAAGAAACCAAAAAAAAAAAATTAATTACTTTTGAATAAAACATTATAATTCAAAAAATTTTTAAATTTAAAAAAAAAATTATTTTTATTACAATTTAAAAAAACAATCGTAAATGCCACGTAACTTACAAATTATAGAATATATGTATAATATTTTGTATTTCAAATATACAATCTATATAAACGTTTCATTTTAAGATCATTTTTTTTTTTACTAGGAATTTTATCGAAAAAAATATTTATAAAATTTCTTTTTATAAAAAATCGTTTTGTTTGAATACACATTTACATTTCTTACATTGCTAAATTATAAAACAAACGTTTTTCAATAAAAAGAATTTTTTTTTTGTTACTTTAAGCAAAATAGAAAAGTATTTTTGTGAAATTAAGAATTACAAATGTTAATTTGAATTATAAATAACTTAATAAATAATTCATATATATTTTAAATTAATTATACAAAATTATTAAATGAAAAAAAAAAAAATAAAAAAAATAAATTTATATTATTTTATGTAATTAAACACATGCACAACTCTGACCTTTTACAATCCTCGCCTGAGCTATTACGATAATCGCATTTAAATAACAAAAAAAGTTCAAGAAATTGACTGAATTGTATTATAATATATTTTTGTACGCAAAACTATATATGAACAATAATTTAACTTGATATTTATGTACGTTTTAAAGTTAATTTTCATTACTTTAAATTTTAATGGATTTAAAATAATACAATTAACATAATAGAAAAAAATGTAAATATGAAAAAAAATATTTTATTAATTATTCAAATTATAGAAACGTTTATAGAAAAAAAATTCCTTTCGACCTTCAGTGAGCCCTATAGAAAGTGAAATAAATTTTTTTTCTTACATATTACCTATAAATACATATGTATATACATATACATGTGTATAGATTGATACACATGATTATGTATAAAAATTCAAATTAATTTTGATCCTTTTTCTCATTTCACTAATATTTTTCTAATTTTTTTACGTTCAGAAAATAATGTTTTTGATATTTTTAAACTTTTCAAAAACATAAATTTGAATTTTTTGGTTTTTTTTTTCGTAAAAAATTCCTAATAAGTTTTAAATTTTTTTTAAATAAATGAAAAACTAACCAAAAAGAAAATTTAATACAAAAAAATTTTGTTATGAAAATTTCCGCTGTAAAATTAAAAAAGTTTTTACTTAAGAATCTGAATATAATATAAATATATAAAATATATTATTTATATGTATATATATGTTTAGTTATGTATATTTTATGTATAATTTAAAGTTTTTTTTCTCCTTTTTACTTATGTATTTATATATTAAATATATTTATACATATTTACCTTTTTTTTCTCACAAAATATTTTTATTATTTTTATTTTTTTTTACATTTCACATCAAAATTACATTTTCTTATTTAAAATATTATGGTTTTTTTTTTTTGGTTTATTTTCTTTTAATTTTAAAGTACTTTTTCTTTTTAAATTAAGTTTTTAATATTCTATAAATTTAATTGAAATACTACACTATATTGCTATACTATAATTTTTTGTAAATGCTTAATAATTTTTTGTAAATTCAAATATTCGGATCTTCATTAAAAATATTTTCATTGTGTGTGTGTGAAATGTTGTATGAGATTTTATACATTTTACATTTTCACAGTAAATTGTAAAATATAAATTAAATTGTAGCTAAGAATAAAGTAAATTGTACCAATAATAAAGTAAAACAACATATATTTGTATGTACAATAGCTTAAGCTCTCGTTATCTATTTAAATTTCCCTAATAAAATTATTTTTGTTTCTTTTCTAAACTTTTAAAAAAAATTTAAAATAAAATTTAAAAAATATTATTTTTGAAATATTAATTAATTTAAATCTTGTCAAAATCTTGTCAAACCTTATTATAGTCAAACATATAGTGTAGTTTTTAATTAAAAATATTTCAAATGATTGAAATTCTTTTGCAATAATTTTGATTGAATTATACCACATCGTGTTTTTTGTATGCTTTTTTGCGTTTCACGCTTTTATGTTTTGAAAAATGTTTTTGTTGTCAGTGTTTATTTCAATATTTTAATTGTTTTTTAATTGTTTTTTGTTGCTCAATATGCTTTTGAGAAAATATTCATTTGGCAACTTATTATTTTTATAAAATTGTTTTTCTTATAATAATTTCTTTTATTGATACATTCAATTTATACGTTTTTTTTTATAAGATTTATAATATCGATCTTTCTAAATTCCCATATTTTAATTGATAAATTGTGTTATTATTCGGTTTATATTTCATTTCATTATACAAAGTTGATCTTTTCTCAATTTTAATATTTCATTTTGCAATTTACTCATTTTGTTTTTTTTTCTTAATTTTTATTAATTAATTTTACTATTTATTTTTTACTCAGCCGATTTAATTTTACATTTCTTTTTGTAAATATCTAAATTTTTGTGATTTCAAAAATAAGAATTTTAGCCAGTATAAAATTATTCAATAATATTTAAAATTTTTTTGATTGCAAAACAAATAAAAAACATTAAATATTATAAAATAATTTCTCGACTAAAATTTTAATATTTTGTTTTTTAAATTATGCGTTTTCAAATTACTTATATAAGTATTTTTTTATTTAATCATTTATTTTTTGGCTTTAAATTCTTTTAATTAGTTGGGTATTTCTTTGTTTCTTTATTTTGTTTTTAAATTTCATTATGTCAGAACTGTACTCGTTTAGTTTTGCTTATTTTCATGTTTTCATGTTATTTATATAAGAAGTTTTATCATATCAGATTAAATTTGTTTTGTAAAAATATTTTCTTTTGATTTATATAATTTTGTGCTATACATTCTTGCCAAATAACTGGTATTTTTTTAAAGCAAAATAATAGAAATAGTAAATTTAAAATATTTAAACATAATCATACAGAAGAAACAAAAATTAAAGCATAACCGAAAATATTAAACATGAAATAATGTAATGTTTTTTTTAATATTATGTTTGTTATTTGTAAAATAAACATAAGAAAATTAATAATTTATAATCTATAAGTTTGCATCTAAGCTATTTTTTTGAAATAAGAAAATTTTGCGAAATTGTGTTTCGCAAAATATATTTTATGTGTCCTTAATACTATCTGATTTTATTGGTTTTAGAGGCAATTCAAAGCCATATAAATAAATATTTTATATAGCGCTAATACAATCATATTTATATAGCTTTTAAACAATTGAAAAAAATGTTATTTTCTTTTGAAAATTAATTAAATAAATTGAAAAATTAATCAAAAATTAAATAAGTTTCAAAATCACATGCATACAGAAAAATATTCAGAAAGTTTAAGAGTTATTTAATTCTTTGTTGTAGAGTTGATTTAAAAAGCTTTTTTAAACTTTTCAGTATTTGAAAAAACTTTTACAAAAACGTTTAACAAATTTTGAAGAAATAATTAAAATATTTAAAAAAAGAAATATATACATTTTTAAATTTTTCTTTTCAATAATATTTTATTCAAATTATAATATAAAATATTAAATTAAACTGTTAGCTATAAAATAATAATTAAACTAATCATACTTTATTGTAGATATAAAAAAATATTTTCTTAAATTAATTGAATAATTTAAAATTAAATAAAAAAAATATAATCGTTGGTTTTGTATACTATTTGGTTAGTTGGTTTTATTAATAATTTTTTTTTAGAAATACTTCAAAAATTGTCCGTTTATAAGTAAAATTAAATTAATTAAATACAATAAATTAAATATTTCTTAAATATATTGTATATCTTATTTGTGTATGAAAATAATTCTCAATAATATTTGGCAAAAATTTTAAGAATCAAAGAAAACAAAATTAATTGTATAAAATTTTTGTTAAATATAATGTAAAAAATGCGTTTTAAAATTTGTGTGTTTTTATTTTTAATATTTTGTATGTTTTAAATTTTATTATTCGAATTTTCCCTAAAATTATACAGTTTTAAAACTAAATTATAATAAAATTAAAAAATCATTTGGGTTTATAGTTTGTTTTTTAATCAATAATTTTAATATTGATTCATTTTGCACAGATTGTGTTACAAATCCGATTTTTCAATATATAATTCCATAGTCTTCCTATATATGATTATTTTCGTTATAGAAATATTTTTATGCGTATATATATATATATATATATATATATAATAATATATATATTTATACGTTATTTGGTCAAATTTATCATAGAAAATGAATATGAAAATTTATCATAAAAGTTCCTTTTTTTCTCTTTTCATATTTAAATGAAAATAAACATTTAATAGTTTTGAATTTAAAGTTAAAAAACCAAATTTTTCTTTGCAATCAATTTGTGTTAGCTGCAAACAAATATACATATTAAAATATCTGAAATACATTTCCCTTTACTCAATACTACAAATGGCAAGCCCCGATTATTTTGCTTTTTATTTTGGATCCGGATAACTTCTAAATTTAAATATATAAGACGTGCTAAACTAATTAAAGTACTTCCAATATCTTCGATTTTCTATTTCCTTATTTTTTTTTAATCTATGTTTGTATGTATGTTTTTGATAAGAATATTATATAAAATACAATCTTTTATTCATAATATTATCACAAAAATTGTAAAATATATTTCAGATTTCGTTCAACTTAAAAAAAAAAAACGATATCTAATACAATGTATTGATATCACAAACGATGATTCCTAAATCTGCGAATAAATTATGAAAACATTTATTTTATTGCATAATGTTTTGAAAGTTTCTAAATTACATAGATAAAATACATGCTTCTTTTTGCTCGAATTTATTCATTAAATTGTATTAAATGGCAAATCAAGACTTATAATAACCCTATTTTCTTTCAGTTTGTATAAATTAAATTTATTTAGTTAATATATCAATCGCAGATTTGTCAAAAAATAGAACCATCATTTTTAATACAGATTTACACTTCTATTATTTTATTATATTTGTATTATCGCAAATTAAAATTCTTAAATTTAAAAAAAAAAACCAAATAAAAGAAAAAAAAATCGATACAGCTTTAAAATTTTGCTTTCCTTTCTTTCAATAAAAAAAAATTTGATCATATTCATTTTCTTGTAAATTTGGCCTTTGCTCCAAGTGTCAGACTTGTGGTTTATGTTTGCCACCACATATTCCACACGATACTCCAATCCAATGACAAGTTTTTAATGGAGGATAACACCATAAACAGGGGACGATAAGTGATAGCAATGCTAAACCGACCCATCTAAAAAATTAAAAGAAGTTTTAATGAAACATTTAAAAAACTATTTTCCATTTACCGTTTAGTGCAACCATTTTCGTTAACGCATTCGCATGGATGTTGGGGTGTTTCACCTTCTGAATCACTCATACAGTGATATAGCATACAACGAGCGCAACCCATACCTGATATACATTCAAGACCAGACTTAAAATAATCTGGAGCAAATTCGCATGCTCCTCGTCGATTCCATTCTTCAGTATAGAATTCATGACAAAAACGACAGCGTACACGATTTTTTATTAGCAATCCACTTCCACTACCACCACCACCAATACTACCACCTACACCACCAGCTGAACCACTTAATGGATCCTTAAGTATTGATACAGGTTCTATTATTGAACCTGGTGTTGTACATTCTAAAGCTGTTCGTTTTTTCAAACTACAAGTTGAATCACGACGTGCTGTTACAACAGCAGCAACTGGTTCGTCAACAACTGGATAATTGTAATCGTGAACCTATATTGAAATAAATTTTAAAAGTAGAAAAGAAAAATTAATATTGTTGAATTGAGTTAATTTTAAATAATTACTGCAGTTAATTGAACGTATGAATAGTTATCGCCCGGGGCTATAGTTGTTTGCTGATGTTCCCCATTTGGACTTGGAGGCAATGGAACTTGTGGTTTGTCACAGGATATGTAATGAATATTTGGTTGTTTTTCTTTGTTATTTTCACTCTCTATAGTTAAAAAAAAAAAAATTACTTTATTTTATTAAAAAAAAAGAAGCTAAAAGCGAAATATCTTACTGTGACTTCCACTTCCTTCAGGACTTGATTGATTTTCAGATGGTTCAAGAGGTAAATCAAGAGTCTACAAAATAAAAATTATACGATTTTTTTTATTTATAATATGTATAATATCATTGTATCAAACAGGTAGGTACATAAAATTTGTAAGAAATTCTTACCATGAAGACGTCATCTTCACCAACTGAGTCATATTTAGGTATTTGGGGCCATTTTTGAGATTTATTATTATTACGAGTCAGTCCTGAAAAGTACAAAAAATTTTTCCTCATCATTAAGAATTTGAAATTTTTAATTTTGTATAACGTCTATAATTACCAACACAAAACAACATTTATGTATTCTTAATTTAAACCAAAATATAAAGATATTATTTCAGAGTACATAATTTTGCGTTTTAATCGGAATTCAATACAAATTAAAAGTTTAGTTATAATATCATGAAAGAAAAATAAACTACAAAATGCTGATAGTTTTATGGAAAATTAAAAAATTTAGAAGAATCATCCTAAAAAATTAAGATTATATAAATTCTATTTTAGCTCAAATATTTTTTGATTGCAACAATCCTTATTTCAGTTCATTTTTTAATCTATTGTACTTAAATTCAAAATATTTTTCAAAACATTCGCCTACAAAGGATTTTCCTGTTGAATATTTAGTAAATGCCGTAATTTATATGCCGTAAAATTCTTAGTTGCATTGAAATCCTTCATAGATTTTTTCTAATTTGTTATGGCAGTGCTAATTATTTGTTGTTCATTTGTTATGGCTATTTTTTATTAAAATCTATGTCTTATTAAAACTCTAATCTATGTACTTAGTGCTTATATTTAGTTTTCTCAATTTTCGGATTTCATTATTTAATAATTAAAATATTGAGTCAAAGCCCTTGAGAAATTTAATTAGAAAACTGAAATTTTTCTCATTCATATGTAAATAATATTTAATCATTTTGGTAATATTTTAACTATTTGTTTAAACTAAATTATGTCCTTTTTTCTATTTCAGAATTCAAAAGTATAATAAAGTAATATTATTTGATTCAGTTAAAATTTTAACTAAAAACTGAATGAAAAACCCTTAATAAAATGAACTTTTTAAATATGAATATCAATGCAAATGAAATTTTTTTGAAATAAAAAAGGAAAATATTTGTAGCAAGCACAGTTTCTTAACAATGAATCGACAAATCAAATTTTTAATAGCGACCGATTTTAATTTTGTAAATACTATCATTCTGTTTATTTTGAATCAAAAATGAAAAGTTTACATTTAAAGTCACCACACACACTTATTTTAAAAACTTACCAATAACAAAAAATTGTTGAATTATATTTTCCAATTTATGAGGCAAAAAATATAAAACAAAAAAGAGCGTATGGTGTTAGATTTCGAGAAATTAAAAAAAAAAATAACAGACAGACTATATACAAGACAAAAAATAGAAATTTATAAGTATAGTAAAAAAAAATAATAGAAAATTATCTAAAAAATGTAACCGTTAACTAAAGCAATACATAATATCATTTACTATATAAAAATAAGACTATTCAGCTTGGAAAAACTATGTAAATATCATAAGTTTTACAAAGCAGTAATCTGATAATTAAATTAAATTCAGAAATTTATGTTTAAAATTAATACAAGCAATATTAATTGCAAGCCTAAATTGCTGCTCTTGAATTCAAAATTTTGTTAAGAAAAAATGTTGAATATCATACAGGCAGGGTGATCTTTCCTGTATATGATAATTTTTTAAAATCCCTTTTTTTAGTTAATTTAAATATTTTCATAAGATTAAATATTAAATTATACTAAATTTTTATTTATATCAATTAGGAAAACGTGCTAATATTTTTCAATATTAAGCCTGATCTTGAGGAAATACTAATATTACAAGGAAGCAATTACATTACATAAGCTTCGTGGATATGTTTTAATATCACAGAAAAAATAATTTTCAAGCAGAGAATAATCTTATTCTAACCAATAATTTTAATATAATAATTTTTTGTTAATACATTGAAAAAAAAAATATTTTTTATTGTTAAGATTCTTTGCATCCATTACAGTTTTAAATCAGATTTTTTGCAATTGATATTCAATTCATAATTTATTGATTTCAGTTATCAATCGATCAGAATTTTTGCTTTTGGTAGAATAATAGTAAATTTATACACAAAATCATATAAGTACATTTACATAATTCCTCAATTTTTCATAAAAATATTATCATCTTGTTAAAATTATTTAAAAAAGAAAGAAAAAAAGCTGTACAATTCATGCATATCCCAACTAAAATTTTAATAATAATTTTAACATTTTGTTAAAAAAGTTACTTTATTCCGAAAATAATAATTTATATATGTATGTACGAAATATTCTTACACAGTACTTTTAAATATGTTTAAAGAATTCAAGGTTTTTAATAAAGTCAATATTTGGTAGTTTTATGAAGAAGAATGAATTGAAATCACTGTTTAATAGTCTTAATCATACAGAATTTTTAATATCTTATATTATTACAATTGTTGTTTTTTGTCGCATTAAAAGCTTAGAAGAATCGTTTGTAAAATAAACTATATTCAGCCATATCATGAATTCCACTCGTAGAATCCAACAAATTACGAACTACGACTTTTAAAAATCACAAATTCCACTCGTACAGATTATGAATCAGTTGCAACACCATTTTTTTTTAGTGCCATATTCAAAGGATATTTTTTAAAAACGGAGTTTTGCAGTTTTTTTTTAATTTTTGAATATTTCTGAAAAGTAAAAATTAAGGATATATGAATTTTTATGGAATATGAATTCATTTCCCTTCATGGCAGATGTGTTAGAGGAAGGAAACTGAGAAAAAAATTTAACACGACCGCTCTTTTTAAAATACTTGTTAGATATGAATTTTTTTTTCTTGACATTTATTTTAATACAATTTATGATAACACTATTATGAATATACGGAACAGAATTTTAGTAATTCGGAATTGAATCTCATGATTACAAATGGAATACATGATCAGGCTGATTATAATTTTGAAGCATATATATTGTATGTATTTTTTTATACTGCTCATCAAGTTTTCTTTTTACTGAACATTATTGAAAAATATTTCATTTTGTTTTTTAAATGTATGATAAGCAAACAATTCAATTTTAAATAAATTTACTTAACATACATACATATATACTGAATATAAGATATTTAAGTATTGATTGCTTAAAGTTATATAACTTTTGAATTTAGTTATGATCCTTAAATTTCTATTTATTATATATTGAGTAATACACAAAATTCTATTCATTGTAAGTGCAATAACGTAGCAGATTAAATATAGCAATAGTTTTCTTCATTAAATGTTAACGTAGTTACAAAATAAGTTAAATTTATCTAAAAGTAAAATAATTTTAATTTGCAATTAATAATATTTGAATTTAATTACAGTATTTCGAAAAAAAAGAGTAAATTCATTGAAATTATACAACAATAATAACCCATTTGAAAGCAAGACTTTTTTTTACATTATATATGTTATACGTATATATACTTATGTAATATATTGTGTGCGTTTCATTTTTACAAATAACTTTTTTTTAATCTTATTTCAAAGAAAGCATTCTCAGAAAGCATTTTACTATTATTGAAAAAAATAGAACAATAAAAATAAAGGATTTTTTCATTCTTACTTTATTAAATAGGAATATCATGCAATTTTTTAAATAATATTTTCTTTTTAAATAAAGAAAACTAATAACAAAAAAAACATACAACAATAATTATATTAATTTAATTTTAAATTTTAATTAATTATTTTACATTTTCACAAAAAAATGTGTGTGACTTTAATTTTTTTTTTTTAATTTTTCTCTTATCAATCTTATAATTAATCTCTAATTATACATTAAATTAGATTACAATTAAAATAAAAATGTACATGTATATTTATATTTACATACATATATATATATAGCTTATATATAATTCATACCGTCAATTAAATCATTATATGCGCGAACAATTCCTTTATCAAAAGCTCGAGCATCAGCTGCAGTTTGAAATGTTAAACCATTTCTTTGTTTACCAGCACGCCAATGATGAAATGTTGGCATTACTTTGAAATACTTTAAATCACGATTAATAACACAACTTAATATTACCTTAAAATAAAAAAAAAATATAAAAATTTAGAAATACAAAAATAAAAATTGCATGTATAAGTATATATACAAAAATATTTTAAATTGTGTATATTTTAAAATTTATTTAAAGAATTTTATTATCTATATCTTAAAACTTACATTTTGATCAGAAATTCTTTGGCCATAGATTATATATTCATGTCCTCCAGTACCAGGGGGTAGTCTAGCTCTTTTACGTATTGATACATTCGCTAAACCACCCCCAGCTAATGGTAACCAACCTTCGGTGCTTTCGTCTCTTGTCATAACCTGTGCTCTTACTCGTACTAAATAGTCGCTGAAAAATATAAAAAAAAAAATAATAATATTTTTATTATTAAATTAATCTACGAGTATAAGAGTTTTTGTAATTTTCAAAATAGCTAAATTTGCAATTTTCTTGATTGTGTACAAGAAATATATTTTAAAAATATATTTAAATATATTTTATATCATTTTTAAGGTACTTATTGATATTGAATCACCAGATTAGAAAATAAGTGGCAGTTAAAATTTTAATTATATCAGATATATTTATGGTTTTTTTAAACATTCAAATCTTTTCAGTATTTTTTTCTTTTAGACCAAAAGTTATTTATCTTGAAATATCAGAAAAAGCAAAAACCAGTAATACATTAATCTACATAAAAATTTGTTGTCTACTTTTCGTTTTGTTTTTATTGGATTTTTATGTCAGACCTGCGGGAACCGTCAGAGTGCCAGAGAGAAAAAATCATATTTTTAGCACAGCTAAGCCATTTACGTATAGCATATAGGATATAAATTTCTGTTTATTCGGCCAGGAAGAAAAAATTCACCGCTACTTCCAGTTTTATAAAGACTAACCTGAGATTGTAATCAATAAAAAAAATCGAAGATTTGTGAAATGACACAGCCCATATCTCTAATTTATATAACACAGCTTTAAGGTAACAATTTTATTTTTTATTTAAAAAAATTAAATACTCAATCAAATTATTTAATGTGTAATTAATTGTAATTAATTAATAATTAAAATCTTTTATGATTATTAGAGCGAAAAATATCTTTTTCATATTTTTTATAGTAACAACAAATTTATAATTAATAATAAATTCAACAATTAGAGTATAGTTAATAACCATTAACTATATATATTTAATCTTATTTAATCTAAAAATAGGTAAAATTACAATAGAATTAAACTTTTATAAAATAATAATTTTAAAATAATTTATAGGGCTATGGTATGGTATGAGATCAAAGTAAAAATTATATTGCAGATATTATTAATAAATAAGGTACACAAAATATGTGTAGCCAGGATTATGTTACATGCAATGATATGCATATATATAAGTATATATATATAAGGTAACTGTAAAATGTATACAATTATATTAATTATATTATTCAAAAATTTGATAAATTTTTTTTCCATTTATAACTGAAAATTTTTTTTTCTTAAATAACGCATAACTAGACCTACATCCATGTACATGTATACATATATACGTATATATACATTTAATAACTCATTTTTAGTTCATCTATATATAAATGTCCTTTAACTAAAATATTATAAAAATAAAATTGAATTTCTAAAAATAGAAAATTTTCAATGTTCTTATTAAAAATCTATTCGTTGCTGCTTTCACTTTTTTTTTGGTTTTCTGTTTTTTTTATTGTTATATATTCACAACACTATGTGTGTTAAAGTAAAAAGGGGTATTCGACCTACCTTAAAGAAAGATTTTTTTCCATCCTATTCGAACTATTATTAGGAGTGAAAAAATATATAAAAAAAAAAGGCAGTATTTTAAAAGTTGGTCGTTGTCGTCATCATCAAAAACTGCAATCATTGAGTATTTACGCCATAACCTACATTTTTTCTATTCATTTTGTTTTTCCTTTTATTTTAAAATATGAATTGTAAAGTTTTCTCCCTTTTGGTTTTTTTTCATATTTACATAATGGAACTTTTATATATGCAAATATTAATCGAAAATTACGTACGTTATGTGCCTTAGTATAATAGTTACTTTAATAAAAAAAAAAACTATAAAATAAAATTTTTATTATATACATGTATATAATTTATGTAAGTATACATATATATAAAATTTTAATGTACATAAAATTGCATTTACGTAAGTATATAAATTTATATAAAATTATTATATTATTTACTTTGAACATGCACATACAAACATGAATTTTTATATATGAATACATGAAAAAGGGTTCTTAACCTAGATTTGGAGAATTCAATGACCTGAGTAGTTTCTTGTTTTTTGCTATTTTTTTTTTTCTTTTTTTTATTTTTTTTGTATTTCCTACCAAGATATATGAATGCAGTAATTTTCATTCGTTCTTTACATCTTTTTGAAATTCTTCCTTTTTTTTTTTTGTTATATTTTTTTGTAAAAATCTACATTTACACAAGTTATGAATATCAGCGAATGCAATATTTTGCAATTGAATAACAAAAATTTCATTCTAAAGTTGGATTTTTCTCTATTTATAGTCATACTTATGTTATGTACATATATATTTCTACTATACTTGTAAAATTTCTATGAAAGAAAAAATATTGTGTACACAGGTACTTATTTATTTAATTTTTTTTTTTTTGGTGTGTTGCTGACATCATAGATAACCTAAAAACCTAGTTTATTTTGTATACTTTACGTCATCAAATCTATTTTTAAAAGGATTTCAATGAATAAATTAAAAAAAAAAATTATAAATGTACCTATATTTTTATATATATACATATATATTTATGCAGCATTAATATGTATGTATATTTATATTTCAGATATAACAAAGTTTTAGAATTAATAAAACAAACTATAAATAGAAATATATGTAAATTTAAAAAATCGAAAAGACTAATATCTATAACTAACTCTTGTATATACTAACTTAATTATGATTTGAAAAATAAAATTTATGGGTATGTGCATTTTTTTTAATTAACATGTGTTTGTACTTTTAAAATTTATTGAAAATTTAATTAACTTTTGATATTGCATAATTATACAAATTGCTAAACTCATAATATATAGATGTAACTTATTATAGTATAATAAAACAAATTGAAATTTAAATTCAAATTTAAAATGTACTGTAAATTTGTAAATTTGTAAATTTTAAACTTTATTCACGATATATCCATTCACAATAATATTAATATGAACATTAAATGTAATTTAATTTTGTGCTAATTATGATATATGAAATATTATGATATATGAAATATTGTTGACGTTTAATAATGATGTTTCTTATAATTTAGATCAAAAATTTTTAAAATTTGAGTTTGATGTTCATTTCTTATAAATAATTTCTATAAAAAATAACTTATTTGTTAACTAAAAATAGATAGTTGGCAGTAATTGTAAGTAATTTTTAAAATAATAATTTTTAATAAATATAAGAGAACATTGTCACATCCCAAAATTCTGAAGTATTCACAAAAAATAAATACTTATATGAAAATCGATTAATTTTTTCTTATTAATTTTATTAAACCTTTTCAATAACTCATATTTTATTTTTAATATAATGCATATATGTATATACAAATTATATTTTCGTTATAAAAATGTAAAAGTTCATCTACAATAATTATACAAAATAAACTTTAAATACATATTCATACTTCCGTATATAGATAGATAAAATGATAAAATCTTGCAAAAAAAAAAAAAAACGCAAAAAAAATGCGAAAGGCCATTTCTAAAAATAACTCATATTTTAAGCACATTCAAAAAAAAAAACAAAATTAAAAAGGTTATAATGACCTATGAAAGAAAAACTATTTTATATTTACATTGCGTGAGTAATACTTACATACATTATTTGTATTCACATACATATGTCTAATATTTATGCATATCATTTTCATGTTATACATTTACTATATATCCATATGTACATATATATATATATATATATTTAAATCATACATTATAATCACCCATTAATAACAATTACAAATAAAACTATAGAGAAATATTTTGTTCAAAAAAAAAAAATTATTCACATTTAAATATCAAATATACAAACAAACAAACATACCTACAAATTATAAATATATATTATATCAATTTTCTTTTATTTTATTTTATTGTAGTTATATTATTGTTGTTTTTCAATTCATTATATAATGAAAAAATATTTAGTGAACGATTGAAAAGTAGAATGCGCGCAATTGCATGAAAATATCTAATATTCATTCTTTAAATTTTATTTAAGAACAATATAAAAAAAAAGGCATACATATGAACATCATATGCACGTACATACAAATATACATTCATACATGTACTATATATAATATCCTTGTAAAAAAGGAAAGCAAAAAATTTGAAAAAAAAAAAAAAAATTCAAAGTAAAAGAAAAACTTTTACACCAATTCCTTTAAATACTGAAAAAATATTACATATATACGTATGTATACATAAAGGAAAACTATACACATTCTATATTTAAACTACCACCTTTCTAAATTTACCATTTACACCATTACCATTATAAAAAATATAAAAGCTTCCTTAAATAAAATACACAATAAAATAATTATTGTGTATAATCAGAGCAGAGAGTCACCTAAAAAAAAAATTTCCACATAGAATAAAAAGAAAAAAAACAACAAAATAAAAAATTAATTCATAATTTTTTGTTTTTTTTTTTTTTTTATTTTAATACAAAAGACAAGCAACATTCAAGAAGTTCAAATTTTTTTTATTCTATGTGTTTTTTTTTATTTTGTGTATTGCATATATACCTACATTATCATAAAATACTTTCACAATATAGTTTTTTCTTTAAATTTCGGCTTATACATATACATAAAATAACAGCGTATATTAAGGATACAAAAAAAAAAAAAAATTAATCTCAAAAGGAAGAACATTATTGAAGTAGTCACGTTGTTTAGGGCCTTACAATATATTGCCAGGTTAACCATTACTAAAAATTTTAGTAAAATGGAATGAGTTCAAATTCTTCATCTTTACACCATAATTACAAATAAATTACATAAATTGTGTAGAGTTATGTGCAGTCTATCGAAGGAAATCAGAAATAAAAAAAAAAACTAAAGTAAATTTATGCTTTCAGAAAACTTTATTTTTAAACTGACCTTTAACTACTTACGTATACATATATACATATGTATGTTATAAGAAGAAGTGAAACAAAAAAAAAAATGGGTGAAATGTATGAGAACACTGATTTCGTACCCTTTTTTTTCATATACATATGTAGGTAATAAATGCGGACATAAATGTACAATTATTCATTTTATTT